CTTTCCCCCTACAAAAGATCCTTCTTTAGCTCAACTTTTGAAAAAATAGTGGCAAGGTATAATAATTTTATTCATTCATTGTGCTTCTATTTGTAGTTTAATATTTCACAATTTATATTTGATTCTATTGTGTTTAAACATTGCCTCATCTTGTATAAGGGAAGCATATCTTATTTAATGGCAAATTAACTCTGAAAAATTCAAGTAAACATATACTTGCAGTAAACTATAGCAACTTCATGTATGCAATATAGATTAAGCAGGTGACAATAGAAATTATTACTTCGTGCTATTAGGAAAAATTATGTGTTATCTCAAATTGATGGAAACTGAAGCTAATCAACCTGAATTGAGCTTCTTTATGAAGCAGTTTTATATGTAATTATATTAGTGGAGATTATATATAGCAGTTGCATTACTTTAAGAAGAATGTATTAAAATAAAGTTTTACCTCTTTTTCAACACTGGCACTTAAGTCCAAGTATTTGCTTTATTAAATAAATTAACTCTTGGGCCAGACTGTGATGTGGTTAAGGCAGCTGGAGTCCAGAATTTTTGACTTGAGAAACTCACTGGGCACATGTGTATGGTTACCCAGAATGCCTAGAATCTCAAAGGGAGAGAGAGAGATGAAGGAGAAGGGATTGCATGTGACCATTCTTCCCCATAGAGGATGCTTTTGCACTTCTCCTCTTTCCAGCGAGTGCACACACCATCTGACAAAAAAATAAATAAAAATAAGAAAGAAAGAAACTTTCTATACTTTATTAAAATAATGTAAAGCCAGTCCCATAGCCTAGTGGGTAGGACCTAGATCCCATTTGGTTGACCATGGTTCCAATCCTAGTCCTGGACTTGAAAAACATGCCATGTGCATTTGTGTATGTACCCAAATCATGACAGAATGAAGAAATGAAGGAAAGGGGACTGCAGTGTGAGGGCAGTCCATTGGAGGTTGCTTTCTCTCCCCATGCCTTACCCCCCCCCATAGTGCATGCATCATCTGAAAAAATAAATATATGAAATGGATGTTTCCTGTGTCTAGACTAGAGACTACTGTATAGTTACTTGTATAACAGAATTATCTTGCTATAATGTACTACATTAATTATTTATTTAAGTTGGAAGGTGTTACTCTTTTTTTTTTTTTTGGAGAGATTTTCACTGTAGGGCGCGTGCGCTCGCCAGACAGACAGAGAGAGACATAGAGACAGAAAGCGAGAAATCACCCCCCAGGGGGGATGGTCACGCCGCAATCCCTTCTCCTCCATTCTCCTCTCGGGATCTTGGGCATGCACGCACACGCGCCCGGCGTGAGTTTTAAGCCACCGGGTCCGGGACACGAACCGCGGTCGACTACGTGGGAGTCCAGCGACATAGCCATTACGCTAACTGCTGGTTCCCGGGAGGTGTTACTCTTCAAAATCCTTTGCTAAATTAGAAAGTGAATGAACCAAAAATATGCTAAGGCTAAGAATTATGTCAGCCAAAAAATGCTATTCTGTCTCATAATGGAAAGTAAGACTGTTATCAAAGTGAGATAGGGTAGCTTGACAATTTAATAAGACATTTTTAATTATAGCTGTACTACTGTTATGAACATTGTTACGATAGATTTTTTTTTCAGAGGTAAAGGCACAAGTGACAAAATGGATTTACTGAAGCACACCTGAAATAGTAATGAGGGAAAGTGGGATTAATTTGTTTGGATTTTTAAAGCATATTTGTTTTTGTTTTTTTTTTTTTTTTTAGAGAGGTTTTTGCTATAGGGCACGTACGCTTGCCAGAAAGACAGAGACAGAGAGACAGAAGTTGAGAAATCACCCCCCAGGGGGGATGGCCACACCACAATCCCTTCTCTTCTGTTCTCCTCTTGGGATCTTGGGCACGCACGAACATGCGCCTGGTGTGAGTTTTAAGCCACGGGGTCCAGGACACCAACCAAGGTCGACCACATGGGAGTCCAGCGACATAGCCATTATGCTAACTGCTGGTCCCTAAAGCATATTTGTTTTAAAAACAATCAAGAGTTAAATGAATATGCTTTCAAACATGTCTAGAAGTTTCTTCTTGTGTAAAGTAGCAGATTTAGCCTATTTTGAACCACTGTTATATTTATCTTTTAAGATATTTTCTTATCTTTAAAAGCTGGTATCTTATGGCAAAAGTTATTGAGAGGACATTTTAGTGTTCTTTAAAAAGTTGAATTTGCGGTTTCACAGTTTTCTTTTAGGCCTATAACTGCCAATTGTCAAAAGTACTCAATGGAAAGCATCATTTCATTTAAGGCAGTGCATATTCTCCATTTTGGTAGGTTTTGTTTTGTTTTACTTATTTCTTCAGATGGAGAGAAAGGCAAGCCTCACAGCACGATCTCACCATGCCACAAGCCTTCCCACGCTCTCTGTGTTCAGGTTGACCCAGGTCTTAGCTCCAGGCTTTCCCATATGGCTCCAGCTAATGTAGCAGCATCCTACTTACTGCCTGTGCCACTCTATCTGGGCCCATATTTTGCATTTTTACTCACACTTTCAAATGTGGTTTTGAATTATATGTTGTTGGAGGTGTGTGTGATAATTTTTTTCTGACCTAGAGTGCATTTTTTCGGATTATGCATTTGTACATTCTTTGTGTGTTCCATCTGCTTCTCTTTATACTTTCGAAACATGAACCTAGCTTGCTCTGGGAAGTTTATTGTTCAATTCTAATGATGGGTCTGATATTTCTCTCAATTTTCAACACAAAAGAATTTTAGTCCCCTAGCTTTAAGGAAGATTATTTTCATTGTCTCTTATAAAAGGACCTTTTTTTTTTTTTTTTTTTTTTTTTTTTTTTTTTTTTTTTTTTTTTTTTTTTTTGAGAGGTTTTTGCTATAAGGGTGCGTGCACTCGCCAGACAGACAGAGACAGACAGAGAGATAGAAAGCAAGAAATCACCCCCCGGGGGGGGATGACCACACTGCAATCCCTTCTCCTCCATTCTCCTCTCGGGATCTTGGGCACACACACACATGCGCCCGGCGTGAGTTTTAAGCCACCGGGTCCAGGACGCAAACCGCGGTTGACTACATGGGAGTCCAGCGACATAGCCATTACGCTAACTGCTGG